CTGGTGGTATGCTGTGGCAACGTGTCAAGGTCGTGACTTGGCGTACCATCTGGTCCAGAGCAGAACACTAGTGAATGCCGCCATTACTGGAAGGAAGTGTCCTATGACAGGAAAAAAAGGCACGATGAATGGAAATGCAATACAAATTTAATGCACTATACTGCCATTCCTGGTACAAAAGCTGGGCTGATTTGGTGGCACTGGCAGGTGCAGGTAAGAATCAGGATCTACATTGTTTAACACTTTGGATTTGGGTTGCAGCTTGAATCTCCCATTCAATGATCCTTACTACATGTAAGTGACCACGGCTGAATGCCTGTGTCAGCAATTATTCCGGTCGACCCGGACGAAGAGAGGCAATGCTTACTACAAGTACAAGTCATGTTTTGTCAGAACTATAGAACAGACCATGGCATAAGCTAGGCTAGGCGGACCAGAGGCCCAGAGTGGAGGGAATGTGGGGCACTGTGTTGTAGACTTTGTACATGTTTGAGTGCGTATACTGCACATTGTTCAAACGCTCCACATGACCTTGAAGTTTTGAGCGGAGACATAAGAACACATTAAACAGCACGGTCAGCCAAAATATTCCAAGACGTTCATGAATGGTGTTCAACTACATGTGGCTGTGTGGCATTCATTCTTTTCTTTTCGTCTTGATTGATTGACCGTCTATTCATGCGCCAAGGCGGGCCAGTGTTCAGAGAATGACTATGTCAGGCATTGTCTTCTGAGTTTGTGTAGGTTCGACTGCCTCTACTACGCGTGTGTACGCATTGTTCAAAAGCTCCACAAGACTTTGAGCGGAGGCATCAGCACGTGCAGCCATCACATTCCAAGACGTTCGGGGATGATGTCCTACTGCGTGGCACTCGTTCATTCCTTTTCGTCGTGATTGATTGACCGCGAGTGTGTGTGCGTGTACGTGTGATCACTGATCACACAGCAAGTTGTGTTTGAAATGTTCGCTATCATCGCTTCAGCGATGGGCAGGCAGGATCGATTAGGAGAGAGGAGGAGAGAGGGTGTGTGCGCGTGCGTGTGTGTGCGTGTGCGCCCGCGCACTGTAATACTAATATGGACGTTGTCCACGTGTAGATCTACACCGTGAGTACACGTCCACGTCCATGTACACGTCCATGTACATGTACATGTACATGGTACATGCATTACTATAACCCAATACTGTGAATGATGCTGTCTGATGATCGCTCCGATGCGTGAAACTTTAAAGGGGAAGTCCGGTGAAAAATTTAAATTTCAGGGTCGGTAGAGTTTCGGGCGCTGAGTCGAATGGTGTTGGTCCCACGTGTCTCCGACAAAGCGTTCTCGAGATATTTCCGTTTGAAAAACTGAGTTTCGGGGGCTGCGCCATGACGTCATGCGGCCGCGCCACACCCTCTGCAACGTCATAGCGTGCAGCTAGGTCAAAAGGAGTGCGTGAAAGCAATAGTGTCAGTGCTATTTCAAATGATTTGGCGACTGATAGTTTGGTGCAAGCGACCCCGAAGACCTGTAACTCCTTGTGAGAGTGAGGATGCAGCCATGGCTGACCTTCATGAGTTCGGTCTGGGGCTGAGAACCTCGGCAGCTGAAGAAATGGCCACGCGGGCCGGTCAAGAGTGAGCGCTACTGAGTTTCCGACTGATGAAGAAGCAGCAGCTATTGCAGACGAGGCTGATCAGATCGCTGGAGAGCAGGGTCGCCAAAATGGAGAAGAGTGATGCGAGTGCTCTAAATGTTGTTCCATACCGATTAGATTCGCTTAGACTCCAGTAGCCTGCCACATGGTGATGTTTTGGTGCGAACTTGGAATATTTCGGACTACTCAATTGGAGAACAGTGCAGGCTCTTTGAACCACGGGCACGACTCTTCGCTCGCAACGCTATGGAATCTGAAAGTTCTAGGTCCGGGAGCTGTTCGCTGTTTTGTCACTTGTCACGGTTGTGCACTCATCGCTGTAACATAAAATAATGAGGCGGGTGCGGAAAACTAAAATTTTCTTTCTCAAAGCACAACCACCGGCACCGGCAAGGAGAAACGCACGTTCTCTGACTACATGACTGAACAATACGACTGATACGAGTGTAGTACATGACAAGTCCGTGTGTTGACTAGTTTTCTGAGTCTTGTGTCAGTTGTGACTCGAGTCTTGTATATACTACCCCAGCACGGCAGTGCGGGAGTAGTTCCGTCTGTGATGAGTTTGTTGACCGCACTACAGCTAGATAACACACTGCACGCACTGCATGCACCAGTGCACGCAGCGCAGAGCGCGTAGACGGTAGAGGCTGACGGAAAAGTCCAACTCGGAAACGGCTATAATACGGTATAACCTCCAGGGTTACCGAGCTGAAAATCACAGGGTACGTAGTGTTTGTAACACTGAATCGAATGGTCTTGGTCCGAAGAAGCTGCGACAAACGGTTCCCCAATCGAACGCGCTCCGAATATGGCCATTTTTGTACACAACTAGATGGTGTGGCTACCTGGCTGCACGCTGTGACGTCATCACCTGGATCTGGGTGATGCGCGCTCAAATTCGCACATGTTCGATTGGGCGTATCTGACGAACCATAAGCCGCAGCCTCCTCGGACAAAGACCATTCGACTCAGCGACCCGAACTCTACGGACTGTGAAATTTAAATTTTTCACCGGACTTCCCCTTTAAGTAGTACACCTAACACAGCCTTTCGCCTCTGTTGTGTGTGTATACAGCTCTGTACATTCGTACATTGAGCACTGTGCCTCGAGCTTCCTAGACCGGCCTTGTTTGTACATGTAAGTAAGTAATAATTAAACGTACATGTATAACATCATTCTTATGTGCTATAAACCCAATGGCGTAGTCTCCGGCCAGTAGTAGTAGAATCTACTTCGAAGTACTCGCTACTTGTCAGTGCAGTTTGAGCACTCTGGCAAGGTCCCCTTCGAGCTTGGTTCTGGAAAATTTATTTTTCATTGCCACCAGGTTCGGCCTCATTTTGTCTGTGCTGCGCCGATGAGTCCACAAAGGACGAAACAGTTCCGTCCGCAGATTGAGTATAAATTATATCATTCATTTACAATTATTTGTGCCTTGGATTATGAGATTCAATAGTCTAGCACAGGCGCATTGCATTATGGACACTGACTTCGACGAGTCCATGAGGCAATAGGAGGCAGCTATTGCCAATATTCGTGTTTAGCATTTATTTTACTACACTGTATAGAGAGGTGACTGATGAGAGGTGAATTCCCCGAAACACTGTGTCTTGAGCAGGGACTGGTACTTTCTTGTACTAGTTGTAGGTGTGCCGAGTGGACGGTTTAATGGACGGTTCAATGGACTTCTCGTGTGCTCTGGATGGCAGTCGACTAGTCCGTAGTCGTGAGTCAGTCAAGTGAGAATTCAAGTCGGCAGGAAAACCGCGAGCTCCCATGTAGGGAGCAGCACACTCTTTTCCTACACTGAGTTTGTAGTAGAACTGTATTATTCATGTGTATTTGTGCAGGCTTTGTGGCCGGATAAACTGATTCCTCACTCCTCACAAGTCACAGTATAAAATTGCTGCAGGCAGGTCGCCACACAGCCAATCGGCACTTGCCAAGCTCAACTCATGCGGAGCCGACAGCTGGGGGTGTGCGCTGGGTGTGTTCGAATTGTGTGAACGGAATAGACCACAATACTGTACTACACTCTGTCCACGAAAAGAATGCAGTGTTTTCTGAGCTACTACTAGTACTATTTTGTACAGTCGAGAAGCAGTAGCGACGATCCGGCCATACACCACACCACCACATTGGCACTTGGCCGATCCAAACTCTGCATGTGTAGTATGCAAGTGCTGTAGCTTACTACAAATACAATCGTCATGTACCAAACTGTAAACAGTTAAACTGTGTGGCGTAGACTGGCCGGGCAGGGCAGGGACAGTGCATGCAGTCGACTAACTCGTTGTACACGTGTTGCCATGATCTGAGAGCACGATCGCGATACGGCCTGCACATATCCCTGACATTCACATGATTCACGTTAGTAGATCTACTAAGCCGGATTCGAGGCAGCATCACCTGATTGACGTGCTGAGGAACTCATCCAACATTGGCTCCACTTGCCCCATACATTTTACATCCTCAGACTCAGTGTCGAATGAATGCTGCAGCCTGCAGATAGCCCGGACGGGAATGGTAGATCTACATGGTATTGTACTGATATGATACACCGCACAGCGGCGTTGGGCTTCGCCTAGCGCCTGTGCTAAACAACTGCCCGTGGCCAAAGTCATGGTGAAAGCGAAGTAGCGACAGTGAAGGCAGCAACATATGGCACTGGCTGTTCAGAAGAAGGAGAAAGCATTATGGCACTGAAGTGAAGGGCAAGGCAACCACACGTGCGAGACGACAGAATCATCTGTTCATTTTCGACGCGTCGCACACGCACACACACACACACACACACACACACACACACACACACACACACACACACACACACACACACCTCCTCGCGGCTAGCAAGACTAGTGCAAATCTAGACGTCATTGTCAGAGCCTAGTGTCAGAGGTCACCTGATTACTCGACTCCCTGTCATAATCCATTCGTTGGAGTGCATTTCTGGTAAATGCGAAATGCTGCTCGAGCTGATCTTCTGGGCATGCTTTTCTGTGCAGGTAAATTTACCTTGATTTACCGGTATGTCTGAACTGACTTGGCCTGTCCGATCCGGCATCGCACGCCAGCCGCAAGTGCAGACCTCCATGCAGCGCACGCGTCCTGGCCTGCATCATGCCCTGTTCTCCAAATCCAATGACCAGTGCAGTCACAGACAGAGGAACGTCACGTCACGTCGTCAGTCAGTGCATTTCTGCGTACACTGAGTCTGTTCATGATGTAGTCATGTAGTACTAGTACAGTAGTAGTTTGGCGTGCGTTCGCGCAGGGGCGGATTAGACTGCCTGTCAGAGCTGTCTACTGTCAATCAACGACAAAAATACGTTTTATCCTCCGCAAGCATTTTTCCTGCTGCAAGGGTGAGCGCTAGCGGAGCTTTGCAAAATCTCAGCAAGCAGCGCTTCCCGATTCCATTGCGATAGAGTCATCACCTAAGATATAGCCAGCACGAATGTGGCGAGTCGCGAACTTGTTTGACTTTGGTCATTTTCCACCGGTCCCACAGACACAGTGGCTGCTAGCTGTGGACTGCTCGCGCAATCACTTGCCTGCGCTCAGCAAGGTGGCACAGCGCGTATTAGTACTATTACTCGTAGAGCAGGACTGCACTACTGGAAGATTGTCGTCTCGATCACTGCCTTGTTGGTATGTGGGTGTTTTGAGGAGTTTACGTGACTGGCACTGTGGCAGTAGCGATGTACATGAAGACAGTAGTTGTACGGTACAAGTAGGACTGTTTCGTGTCTTTGAAAACACTAAAGCTCTTTGCCTCCAGTACTGGTAGTTGTAATAAATTAGCTCCGTGTTGTTTCAGACGTAGTCGTTGTTTGTTTTGACCTGGACAGCTGGGATAGGAGAAGAAGAATACTAAGTAAGAGTATTTTCTCTGTCAGGTGGTGATCGGTGCAGCACACCATCTTGCCCATTGCTGTCGTCGACACGGATCGCTGGACCAATCTGTGCGCTAGCTGCAGGCCGACCTTACTGTGTGTCGAGGCCGGCGAAACGCCTCTCACTCAACTAGCGTGTGCTAGCTGTCGGAGAACGGACGTCCTGTAGTGTTACTTGTTACGGGCACCACCGGCACCGGAGAGGATTCGCCGAGTGTAACATTATCTTCTTCCTGGCCTCGGTTTCGTGCTGAGCAGAAGACAGCGCTACACGTGTGCACGCACGCACGCACTGCCACTGCTGTACAAGTACCTTTTGTCATCCTGAGTCGTGTGTAAGATCTTTCCAACTGTGCGCCACGCGCTTGTCGACAATCAGCTGGAAACAACATACTTCCACACGTACACGCGCTGAGTCAAAGTGAGTGAAGTAGTAGTACAAGGTTTTAGACTTTAGTTAGTAAAACAACGTTGTTTTCTGTGACCTGGGAGGGTTCTGTGCAGCTGCCCCCCAAGACAACAAGAGTTTGAGTGGCTCTTGGCTAACTTAGTAACTAACTGTGAATGACTGATTGGGAGTGCATGTAGCAGCAGCTTGCACTCTCCAAGCACTGGCACTTGAGTGAAAACCTAGTTTCCTGAAGAAGAAAACGTTGGTGTACAGGTGTACCAGATCCTCACCCAGTCCTGATCCCAGCATCATTCACTGCACACAAAGACGTGCGCACTAGAAGCAACACGCGGAATTGACACAGGATCTTGATACAGGATTTCTGACACCAGTCCAGCCTGCAAGCACCTTCGCTTCGAGCTGTGTGCAGCCTAACACGTTGTTGTTGTTGTTGTTGTTGTTGTTGTTGCATTGTTCCCTTGCCCAGAGGCGTATTGCGTACTGCAGGCAGCTCAGCTCCCACTGGCAGATTGGTTGAATTGTGAACTGCCCGTTTTCCTAGCAGAGCAGACATGGCCCTCAGTAGCCCTGTTTCGGTTGGCGTTCTCTGGGGGTTCGTCGTTGTCGTGTTTTGCATGATCGTAGTCCTGATAGCGACGTGGCTGTATTGGCAGCGGGTCAAGAGCAAGGGTGTCGGTGAACACGTGCGTGTGCAAGACAATGAGGACAATCGCAACCCATCGTCGCGGGCGGCGAGCATCGTGCGTGTCAGCGACTACGAGATGCCGCACGACCACTTGCAGCGAGGGCAGCACGAGAGCGAGGACAGCCTGTTCTGCGAAACTCGCTCGGTCTTGTCGCGGCACGGTTCCACTGGGCACGCACCACCGCACCGCGGTACGACGATGTTGGGCGATGCGGCGGACATCGAGCACGAGACGCACCCGGACCTGAATCGACTCAACTCCCTGAGCAGCCGCCAGTCCTTTCAGTCCCTGCACGGCCCGAAAGTGGCCACTCGCGACTGGTCGAAATCACACCCGCTACCAGACGAACCGTCCGAGAGTGAGATGGTGTTTGTTGACGTGAGCATGCAGGTGACTAACCGATCGTCTCTGAGCCCCAATGCCGACATCAGCGCCGTTGAGCCAACTCCTGGACAGCAGACTTCGGATCGCAGCAGTGGCGACAGCGCCATCGAATGCTCAGCAGCCGATGAGCCAGGTCCGCCGCGCGCCACAGATGCTCGCACGTCCTCCGACTTGTCCCTGTCGGTTCTACTTAACAACAACAATCAGCCGTCCAAGACCAACACCGGCGCTGACGACCATGCACAGCGGGAGCTGGCTAGTGAGAGCGGCGGGGATGACGGCGTTTTCCCAGCCACCCCCGACGCCGCCGCTGTTCCAAGGCTGGACTTCAACATCGGAAACGACTCCAGCAACCCGATCTACGAGCTGAGCCGTGGCCCGAGCCAGAAGCGCTGCAGCGAGCGATCAAGCACTGGAGTTACTGTGGCACCAGCTCCGCCAGGCCGACAGAGCTCAAACCGATCGCGTAATCCGATGTACAAAGACGTCACGTCCAACAAGCTGCGCTTCTCCAATACGTTTGTCTAAACAGAATTCTGGTCCATCCCCCCCCCCCCCCCCTGCTCCCACTCCCAATTCGACCGCTTCTCTTATCTCCCTCGCCTTCCCCCCCCCCCCCCCCCCCGCCCCACGACACACACACACACACACTGGAACTGATCATGATTGTGCACGTACTGTGTTTTGACGTTTACCACCAGCGCATTTCGTTCTCACAGCTTTGCATCTGTAGACCATATTCCAGCCAATACCAACACCCTCACCACTGTCCTATTATTGATCTGACATAATCCATATCCATGGCAACATTCTGTACAATATTTTCAATAATCTCTACCGCTCGCGATCGCACTTTTCTTGTGCTTACATTTCCGAATCGTTTTATGCCAGGTATTTTCCATATGGCCTTGATTTCAAATTCACTTTTTCAATGCGCACACCAACGGCCTTCCGACTTGTTTTCGTCTTGAGTGTGAGTCCCCTTTTTATCCTTTTTTCTTTCCTTTTTTTTCATTCCCTCTACTTCTGTTCTTCGTTTGAAATGCATTCGCTCCAGTCATGCTGTGCATTCCGGCAGAACGCTCTAAGTACACTGGTGCCTGCTTTACGCAGCATACTAGTAATATCTGTCAATGAGTCGGTGTGCATTGGTCAGCTGCTCGCTCACTCAGCCACTGCTTGATATTGTTTTGATCTGCTCGATATATATTACACATGGAGCTATTAGTTACTCTGTGACTGGTGTGTATCAGTACCAGCAGTACTGATCCAGATTTACCGCTTACTGTTTTCTGATGACCGCTTTATGTAGTGCGTGAAACTCAGAGTTAAAACACTCAAGTTTTCAGTTCTCTTATCTGCTTCTCTGTACTGAGCACTCTCTTGGACAGCCTGTAACCTCTCTGTTTTACATGTATATGCATTGCTGTGGTTCATTGCAGCACTAGGTATTCTCGCAGCCACTAGATACCAGCCATTCTGTCTTAATCTTATAGAATCATCTGCCATAGTTTATCCTGCCCGTCAATAATAATAATATGATGTGTTTGTTGTCATGATCATCGTCATGTTCAGTGCTGCATGCGTATCGTTCTCCAGTTTGCTGTGAGACGTTGCAGGTGCCCACAGAAGCATGTAACTGTGTTGGTCTCTTGTTGTGTGGACTTGGATCACCTATGAATTGGGAAAAGGTTTCTAGTGGTGGATGTAGGGTCTGCAAGCTGAGCTGAAGGAGCACCCCAGCAGGCAGCATGATGCTCCTGTACTACAGTTGTGGCTGTCTTTAGTCTAGACTACAGTCAACTTCGCTAATAACGACTGCGGATATAACGACAATTCGCGAATAACGACAGAATCTCCATGCCCAGAGCAAAGTCCCATCCCACTGTAATACATAAAAATGAGACTTCGGGTATAACGACACTTCGCGAATAAGGATACCTTTTTGATGTTTGATGCCCCGCCAGGTGTCGTTATAAGCGAAGTTGACTGTAGTTGTAGGTGTGTATGAGTAGTCTAGTCTAGATCTAGATGCCGGTAGTCATTTGTTTTGTCGTCTGACGCATGACGTCTGACACTGAGTGTCAGTGTGCAATCCATGATAATTTAAATTTTTATTATGACTGGACGATGGGCGCAGGATTCTGTGTGCGTGCGTGCGTGTGTGTAAGGCTGAAAGTGTAACTGTAAGCCCACTGAGCAAAATGGGCATACATGATACAGTAGGCACATAATCATTGAAGGATCATCTAGCACATGTTGCGCTGCGGCCCGAGGAGATCAATGCGACTCTTGCCGCAGCCACCACAGAGATCATGGGAGATCAACATGGTAGATCTACCATCAGGCATCAATACTGCAGCAGAACGTAACTCGTTGTGTAGCCATCTAGGCTCTTCTACACTGGACCATGGTCGACCGACGTGCGGACGTTGGAGACAGCCGCATCATGACTTGTCTTTGGTGTCCGAGGCGGAGCGGCTACCTCCTTGCACAATCAGTGTGTGTATGAACCGGGATGAGTGTGAGATTGATGCCTGGATGTTCTCAATCTGCTGGAGGTCGTGGTGAAGATGGAAGGGGACCGTCTAGGCTCCAAATGCTAGCAGTAACGTTTCACAACACTGACGGAAGGCACGCACAGGACACTCCGACAGACGCATGCTGACTGTCGTTTCGCACGGCCACCAACTAGTACTTGTATATCTACACTCAGTATCAATGACTACTTGCCTTTTATCACAGGCGCCATAATTATTTTATTGCACCAGTAATTGTCAACCTTTGACCCCCAGATTGCATAAGAGTTTGCAGCGTGTAGCCCTAACAGCGAACAGCGCAACACCAGGTCAAAATTATCGTGTTTATGGGATACTACTACTAGTACTAGTACTAGTAGCAGCCATCACGGAAGCAACCTGTCTCGTTTGCCACGGTGCATGACCAGGACAGGACAGGACAAAACGACGGTGTCATTGGCTGCGAGCTGTTTGATGATTCTCGATTCTGCCACGCAATCAAGCACGTTTTGCTTATGTTTTGATGCACTTGAAGGGAACGTGTCGAGCTGGGCGGGCAATTCCCTCCCTTCGTGTCCCGCTGGCCTTGTTTTCGACAGATGCCTGTCAACGGGCAGTCACAAGGGCAAGCACGTGACGTCCTGGTGACACAATGAGTGTGAAGTGCCCGTGATGTCTGTGAGGCCAATTATTAACATGATCAAGATAACTAGGCCTTGACAGATTATGCTAGCATAAATTTTCGCATAATTCCTACCAAAATCGAATAATCGGATTATTCGAGGCAAATTGCATACGAATCGCATAAAATTGGACTAATCCGCCTGTTCGCATCAAATTCCATACAGTTGTACATGTTCTACAAGTACAAGTACAAGTATACACACCAGGAAGGCGTAGGTTTACGACTCCCTTGATAGCATGTCCAGTCCACTACAATCAGTGACCAGGGTGACGGTCATAGCTAGGTCGGACGGTGCGTTGACCCCGTTGAACTTTTGCTACTACAGTACAACGCCCTCTACAAAAAAATTCACCTATTATTTTGCACAGAACCATCATATACATTAGCAGCATATGTGAGCATAATGCCGCATAATATGATAACTTTTCGCATAATAATAGCATAATTCTGCAATTTTTTCAGCAATGCGAAAAGCATAATTTCACGAAAATATTAGCATAATCTGTCAAGGCCTAAAGATAACCTTCCTTTTATAGTACATTAGAATCAACTCGTAAAAACTCCAAGTCAATCTCCCATTAGGCCTTGACGGATTATGCTAGCATAATTTTTCGCATAATTCCTACCAAAATCGAATAATCGCATAATTTGAGGCAAATTGCATACGAATCGCATACATGTAAATTGGAATAATCCGCCTGTTCGCATCAAATTCCATACAGTTGTACAATGTTCTACAAGTACATGTACAAGTAGATGCACCAGGAAGTCGTAGGTTTACGACTCCCTTGATAACATGTCCAGTCCACTACTATCAGTTACGGTCGTAGCTAGGTCGGACGGTGCGTTGACCCCGTTGAACTTTTGCTACTACATGTAGATCTACAGTACAACGCCCTCTACAAAAATTCCCCTGTTATTTTGCACAGAACCATCACAATATTAGCAGCATAATAAGCATAATAAGCATAATGCGGCATAATGTGCATAATGTGATAACTTTTAGCATAAAAATAGCATAATTCTGCAATTTTTTCAGCAATGCGAAAAGCATAATTCCACGAAAATATTAGCATAATCCGTCAAGGCCTATCTCCCATTGACACAAACCTCGTTTATTAAACATAATCATATCCTATCTATATCCAATAAAAACAGTTCATAAAAACAGTTCATAAAAAAACAGCTGTTTAGGATCGGACCCAGTCCGCATAACCAAGAGAGCTAGCTCCCTTGGCTGCTGTTGGAATATGCAAGAATGGGCCTTCCAGATAAGGTCTAACAAGGAGAAGTGGCTATAGTTATGAAATGAACACCGGTAACCATGGAGACAGACCACACTCTCATTATAGATACTGGTTATAAATAGACCGAATAAGGAAAATGTTCTGATAGCCTATGAAGAGTAAAAGAACTTGAACCAATGACAACAAATACTCGTCCAGCACACGAGTTTTCATAGCAACACAAATAACAGCTGTCCACTAACTTTGTTGTTGGAGATTGAGTAGGAGTTTTTACTGGTTGATTCTAAATACAATAAATGCTCCGGCCTTGGGTTTATGACTAATAAAAACTAAATATTAAAACCTCGGGGGACCTCGGTTTTTATAATAATTAATAGTTTTTATTGGTCATAAACCCTCGGCCTCCTCATTTATTGTATACGTAGGGAGACTGGACACGCTGCACTGATGGCCACAGAGACTGTCTGCGACGTTCACTCTGAGCTCATACTGTGGAACTACATGTAGCACATTGCTGGCAACTGAAATCCGACCCCTGAGAGGTGGCCTCACATCGCAAAGACCTAACACGGGATAGTAAAACTACGAAAATATATTAATAGAGACAGCTAGAACGTGAACGCACAACTCAGGGGTCGGATTTCAGTTACCAGCACTGTACATGTTGTACACATAACGGAACTACAAAAGTAGCCACAATCATAATCATGGCATTCGATCGATAGCCATGCATTCAGTGCGTCTTTCGTGCAACCTTTGCCACTGAGTAACTGGCAACTACTGGCAGTCCTCATCACCCAACCTGCAGCACTCAACATAACTGATCACATAGCGTTGGGCTGTGTTCCCTAAACGAAGCAAATCGAGAAAAAGAAACGTGAACAAAACAAGAGCAAACATGAGCATGCAGACCACACAAGCGCGTAAAACGCGCAGGAGGCAAGGGAGGACTGATAATCTAGCCTGGCGAGGTGTGGGCGTCCGACACTGCAAGAGCGTTACTATTGTGGCAGGCTGTTCAACTTTCCCGCTTTGGATACATTTACATGTACATGGGAGACAATTGCCTTCGCATACATTTTATCTACATGTACATGTACATGTACATGTAGGTGTCCTGCTTTGGAAAGGTGGCAAGGTTGGACAGTCTGTACTAGTGTGGGATACATGTGGTCATGTATACTAGTACCAGTAGTAGTATTTATTATTTTACTTGGGTATACCCAACAGGACTATGGCCTTCTTACAGGTTGAGGCATATGCGGATAATGCCGGCAGAAAAATTGGCAGAATTCGGTACTTTTTCTGGTAAGTTTCATGCATGTTTGGTATGTGGATAAAGAAATGGAGCAGAATTCGAGGAATGCCAGCCATAACTTTTAAGGTTTGTATGGTTCTGCCATTTTCACTGCTTTTCGAGCAGAATATGCCACCTTTTCGAGCATTATCCGCACACCTCTAGTCATTTACCTCACTAACTAACAGTAGCACTCAGCCGGGGTTGTCCATTGCTCGTTGACGTGCGTGCTCCATCTTTCATGTTGCCTGTCAAGCACGTTGGGCACCCTTTTTGCAGCTATGGCCATTATGGAACCTAATTTCACTCAAAAACCCTGCAATCGCCACGCAAAGCGGTCATTGGCTACCCCAGCCATGTATTGCTTGGAATAAAATTAAAGAAACTCTCTGCACAGACTGCACTACAGTACCGTACGGTATTAGATATGCTGTCAAACCACAACAGCATGTGTGAAGAATAATAATTATGGTTTACGGTATGCAAGCCTTCCTTGATAGGTTTAGCATGTTTTATTATTATGAAATGACCCAAAGGCAATGTGCCTATCGAGGGGTTCATTTGATTGAAAGAACAGTAGATGTAGATGTATGTACAAAGAGAAGTAGGGATTGATGAGGAGAGAAATGGGGTTTTCACAATGAACATAATGGTTGTGAGAGTCTGTGAGAGTTACCACCTCACCCTCGCCGTTAGGCGCTGCATCTGCCACCCTGGTATCACAGGCATGGTGGTGGCCTGGCACGAGCGAAACTTCCTAAGCTGGTTGTGTTTCTCAACGCAATTGTATAGCCGGTTGTAACGCGGACGTGCGAACT